TGTGTGTGTGTGTGTGTGTGTGTGTGTGTGTGTGTGTGTGTGTGAACTGTATTTATCAAGATGTAGACATGAACATACTCATGTCCATGGTAAACATACAAAAAAGGGTAATATTTGCTTCGTTTTTCTGTTACAGTTGAAGAATCAACTTTTGAGCTGAAGAGGTCCTCTGATAAAGCTGTGCTATTTCAAGTCAGGAAGAAAGAAATTCCATCTGCTAAAACCAGCAGAGGTTGGTTCACTTCTGATGAAATGGTTTCATCCTGTTTTATGCTAGACATGGCTCTTATCCATCCGTCTATATATCTTGTGAAATTCAGTTGACCATTTCGTGGCTTTCTATGCGCACAGCATTCTGGGTAGAGGTCAGAGGTTATTAAACCCGCATCACTATTAAATTTGATGGATCTGATGTTTTTTGTGAATTATGATAGAGAAAACACTGGATGATGTGAAATGTTGGAGTGTCAATGCATGGTCATACTGGTACCATTACCTACTTAAATGATCCAGTCGTTAGTTGGGACTTCTGTCCATTTAGTTAATATCTACATAACATTATAAATAATCTCAACAGCGCTAACAAAAACACTACTAAAACAAACTTCAAAAGCAGATTAATATCTTAAAGAGATTTATGGAAAATCTCATCTTTGACCTTAAAGAAAAGTTTAACATAAATCAGTTTAGAGCAAATACATTGGGTCTGTATAATGATGTTAAATTAATGACACAGTTGATCACAGGCTACTACCAAACATCCTGGAACACTCTGGTCTATCAAAACATTCAGTCTCCTGGTTCACCAACTACCTAACTGACAGAACACGGTCTGTTCATGTAGCTGGATCCTCCTCTACCTTCTTAGATGTTATGAAAGGGGTGCCACAGGGTTCTGTACTGGGTCCCATTCTTTTCTCCCTTTACATCAACGACCTGTGCAGCAATCTGTCAAATGCTTCCCATCATTACTATGCAGATGACACCATCATCTATTGCTGTTCATCCTCCCTCAGCCAAGCTTTCACCTCTCTTCAGGACGCTTTTAATATAATTCAGTCATGTCTGCAAAAACTTAAACTGGTCTCAAACGCTGAAAAAAGCAAGATCATGGTCTTATCCAACAGAAAACAGCAATCAGTGAACCCACGTCAAATCAAAACCAAACAGGGAAATCTAATAGAAATGGTCTCCACCTACAAATACCTAGGTTTCTACATTGATAGTGACCTGTCTTTTAAAACACACATCTTCAAAATGACCTCTAAACTCGAACTGAAGCTAGGCTTCTTCAGAAACAAATCCTGCTTCACATGCAAAGCAAGGAGAATATTAATAGCTGCTACATTCGTGTCGATATTAGATTATGGTGACGTGCTCTACATGAGTGCTGCATCAAAATACCTCCAGTCCTTAGACTCCATTTACTACAGTGCTCTTCGGTTCGTTACTGACTCCACTTATCAGACTCATCATTTTGAGCTTTACGTCAAATCTGGCTGGACATCTCTCAACGCCCGCAGATACACCCACTGGATATCCATCATCTACAAGACCCTACTAAACCTAGTCCCGTCATACCTTACCTCCTTAATACAAACATCACACCATCACACAGTCATCATTCCCTGCGCTCTAACGATCTCGTCCTCCTATCAGTGCCTCCAGTCAGAACTGAACTAGGAGAAAGACCATTCAGCTTCGCAGCCTGGAACAACTTACAGACAGATCTGAAACTGTCAACACTCATCCCTCCTAGATCCTTCATGTCAACCGTAATAGAAAACATCATCAAGAAACTTGACCGTTGCAGATGTTTCTAAACATTACCTATCCCCTATACATGTCACTGTCGGTATTTTTAACTGTATCTACTCTAACAATGTCTGTTTTTATTCATCGATTTATTTTTGCTCATCTAAATTTTTTTCCACGTCTACCAAATTTAGTAAATACCTATAGAATTCTGTCTTATCCAGATGTTTCTGAACTGTCAACATCTATTTATTGTGATTGTAGTTTTCTTTTTTCCCCCTTATTTTCTTTTTGATCAGTGCAAATGCTTTGTCAATTACTATGTGACGTGTGCTGATGACCACTTGACCAGGTCAGCCTTGTAAAAGAGATCTCAATCTCAACGGGCTCTACCTGGTTAAATAAAGGTGATTGATTGATTGTCGTGATGCATCTCAGTAATCCAGGTAAAAAAATCAAAAAGAAAAAAATTGTATAGGTCTGCTGGACGGGTTCTTCTCTAATGAAACGTTTCGTCTCTCCTCCAAGAGACTTCTTCAGTCTGAGAGTTTCAGGCAAAATTCAGGCTTTTAAGCACTGCCTCCATGTGACTGATACTCACAGGAGGACTGCGACCAGTTATACAT